CCCAGGGCCTCAGGCATGCAAGGCAAGCGCTCTACCACTGAGCCACCTTCCCAGCCCCCTGAGCTTCTTTTGCTCAAGGCTAGCACTCTACCACTTAAGCCACAGCTGTGGTACTGAAGAATTGAACCCAGGGCTTCGTGTATGCAAGGCACTCTATCACTAAGCCACCTTCCTAGCCCAGAAATTTTTTTTTTAAGAAAACAATCTGAATTTAGGCCTGAATATTTATTTCTTCTGTTTTTTTTTGGTTTGTTTCTCAATATAATTTCCTGCTTATTGTTGCTTATAGGCTCACGCCTATAATCCTAGCTATTCAAGGAGGCTGAGATCTGAGGGTCAGGGTTCAAAGCCAGCCCCAGCAGGAAAGTCCAGGAGACTCTTTATCTCCAATTAACCACCAGAAAATTGGAAGTGGCACTGTGGCTTAAGTGGTTGAGTGCTCACCTTGAGCTGAAGAGGTCTGGGACAACACCCAGGCCCAGAGTTCAAGCCCCACAACTGACTTTAAAAAAAAAAAAGCTATAAGAATGTCTGGAGGTGGGGGCTGGGAAAGTGGCTCAGTGGTAGAATGCTTGCCTCGCATGCATGAGGTCCTGGGTTCGATTCCTCAGCACCACATAAACAGAAACCCGGAAGTGGTTCTGTGGCTCAAGTGGTAGAGTGCTAGCCTTGAGCTGAATTGCTGAGGGACAGCGCCCAGGCCCAGAGTTCAAGCCCCACAACCGGGGAAAACAACAAACAAAACAAAACAAAAATGTCTGGAGGGGCTGGGAAGGTGGCTCAGTGGTAGAGCACTTGACTTGCATGCATGAGGCCCTGGGTTTGATTCCTCAGCACCACATAAGCAAAAAGAAAAAAGCTGAAAGTGGCGCTGTGGCTCAAGTGGTAGAGCACTAGCCTTGAGCTGAAGAGCTAAGGGACAGCGCCCAGGCCCAGAGTTCAGGCCCCACAACCGGACCCCCCCCCAAAAAAAAAAAACTAAGAATGTCTGGATCCAAGTATATAAAATTCACCTCCTTTTCTTTGTTTCTTTCTTCCTTTCTTTCATTCTTTCTTTTTTTGTTGGTCATAAGGCTTGTGTTCTACCACTTTGAGCCACAGCTCCACTTCCAATTTTCTGGTGGTTAATTGGAGATAAGAGTCTTATAGACTTTCCTGCCTAGGCTGGCTTTGAACTACAGTCCTCAGATCTCAGCCTCCTGAGTAGCTGACAGGTTTGAGCCTCTGGCACCTGGCTCATTTCCTTTTCTATGATCATACAAGTCAACATATTCGTAGAATCTGTTTCGTTAAGTATAGGTTCCAAGTTTTAGATAGTTTTCAGCCTCTTACTCCCTGACTCATTTTCCCAGACCATTCAGTCCAATCCAGCTTCTCTGACTGACTGCCTCCTCCACACTCCCATAGCTGAACAAATCAGGCTTCTTATACTCCTTGTGGGGAAGGTGGAGTGCATTCATTGTTCTCAGGAGGTACTAAGTGGGAATGGTGATGGATGTGTGCTATGGATAGGTAACCACCTTGCTGACCAGGAGCTGCCTTTCCTGGAAAGTCCCAGCATTTTCTTCAGAGGTTTGGTGTTTAATTCTACAGATGGAAAGTCCCTGCTTGTCCTTTCTCACATCTCCCCTCTCTTCCTAGGGCAGAATAGCATGTGCCAATGTCCTCAGTGACCTCTATGCAATGGGGGTCACAGAGTGTGACAATATGCTGATGCTCCTTGGAGTCAGTAATAAAATGACGGACAGGGTAAGTAGGAGGCCCAGTCTGTGCTGTCTTGGTAGTGTCATTTGACCTGGTGAGACTTCTTTCCTGCCCTGAATGTGAGGAGCCCCACCTCACTATGTGGTTTCCAGTATTCCTTCTGGCTGTCCACTTTGGGTAATTATGAGAACATTAAAATGAGTGTCTGACCACTTCAGCTTTTTATTTTCTGCCACTTGCCCCCTCGTCTTCCAGCTAGACCAACAGCTAGATACTTTTGTGGGTTTGGTATAAAGTTCAGGCCATGGTAATAGGAACTTAATACCAGGTATGTCAGCCAGGAACTGCCCTATGGTCCTGGGTGTGCAAGGCTTAGAGAGCGAGGTACTTTGTTGATGGCTGGGGTGTCGCTGGCAGATGCTGCTGCCATCCCTGCCCATACTCACTTCTTTGCTACCACCCTCAGTGTCTGTGTCCTCACCAGCTCTTCTTTGAACCAGAGATGAATTCCTGCTTAGATTATTTTTAACAGGTACTTGTTTTTAATCCCCTTTCTATTCTCAATAAAACCATTTACCTTGCTTTATAGTAGGCCCTTCTTGTGTACTGACAGTGCTGGTGTGAGCTCTGAACATTTGTACTGAGCAGTCTGAGCAAGGGCTTTTGGTGTGTACATTACCATCGTAGGCCTCAGCAAGTCTCAGCCCTCCTTGGTAAAGTAGTAATCCTCCTTGAAGGCAGGGCTTATATGCATATAGTTAATCTTAGAATTCTTAGTTCTTTTTTTTTCTTTAATTACTTTGGTGGCACTAGGGGGTTGAACTTGCCCTAGTGTTCGTTTCACAAAGCATTCTGCCATTTGACCCACATCCCCAGTTGTTGTTTTTTTAATATATGTATATATGTTTTTTTTCTCTTTTTCTTTATTATTGTGGAAATACCATACAAAGGGGTTACAATTACATGGGCAAGATAGTGAGTACATTTCTTATCAAACAACATCCCCAGTTTTTTGCCTTTTATTTTTTTAAATAAAAGTCTCTCCCTTTTGTTCCCCACGGCCACCCTTGAACCATGAACCTCCTACCTCTACTTTCTGAATAGCAGGGATTGTGGGTGTGCACCCTCACGTCCATCAAGAGCTGATTCTTGCTAGTTAGCAGACTTGGGACCAGGTGCAAGCATCCATGACATATACTGGTACTCAGTACACTCCTGCCTGAGCTTCCTTCACTGAAGTGCCCAGCTAGCACTGGTAGCAGGCTGGTATTCCCTTGCTTTTGTTACACCCTGCCCTGGCTGTCAGCTTTCAGAACTTCCTTAGGAGTTGGTGATCCTTTTATAAGTGTGGGACCCACATTCTTGGGGTTTCAACAGAATTATTTAACTTTTCATTTGTGTCCTTTTAAACCCTAGGAAAGAGATAAAGTCATACCCCTAATTATACAGGGTTTTAAAGATGCGGCAGAGGAAGCAGGAACGTCAGTGACAGGTGGCCAAACAGTGCTAAACCCCTGGATTGTTCTAGGAGGAGTCGCCACAACCGTCTGCCAGCCCAATGAATTTATCATGTAAGTCGGTTCCTGTTGTTCTCTGTTTTTAAAAACACATATATAAAAGTGTTACTCACACACACACTGAAGGTATAAATAGAGTGTTTGATTCCAAATACTGAGTGCAGTCATCACCTGAGTGAGTTTTAGAACATTTTGCATTATCTAACAAGAAACCCATTCCCCACTCCTGCCCTATGCTACCATATTGTCTAAGCTCATCCATTTTGTAGCTCAGGTCAGTACTTCAATCCTATGAAACTATTCTCTATGAATTTTAGATGTGTGCTTTTTGGTTGTTGTTGTTGTTGTTTTTTTTTTCCATACTGGATCTGCCTGTGTAGCCTAGTCTGGCCCTGAAATCCTGATCTTCCTGTGCCAGCCTCCTAGGTACACATCAACTTGCCTGTCTCAATCTTAGAAACTTAATCAAGATATAGTTCACCTAACAAGATCTCATAGTACAGACTTGAGCATTTGTCTAGTATAGGGTTGGACAGCCTTGGCCCCTGTTCAGTTGCCAGAATGTCTCCTTCACTTCCATGCATTAGCCATCACTTCTAGTTCCCACCTCGCCCTGCAGGTCACTCGTCTGCTTATCTGTAGGCCTTTGCCTGTTGGGAACATTTTATATAAGGGCATCCTGCAATATTTGGCATTTTGTTTCTGGTTTCCTCTAACGTGTTTTCAGGTTGTAGCATAAGTCTGAAATGCTTTTTTTAAGCAGTGACTCTGCGATGAACATTTTATGTGTGAGTTTTTTATACAGAAACATTGCTCTACATCCCCTCCAGAAGTGATTTTTATTGTGGCTTTGTGTGTGCGTGTGCATGCACATGCATCCACATGCATGTACAGTCCAGGGGAACCCTCTCACCCTGCTCTACTACTTGAGCCCTGCCTCTACTTCCAGCCTCTTGCTGGTTAATTAGAGATAAGAGTCTCAGATTTGTCTGTCCAGGATGGCTTACTATCCTCAGATCTCAGCCTCCTGAGTAGCTGAGATTGTAGGCTGAGTCACTGGTGCCTAGCTATTGGACAAGCATCTCAGGACAGGTTGTTACTTTCTATTTTTGATATCTTGCAAGGAAAACCACACTGTCTGATTTCCTGAAGGCAGCAGAACTCCACTTATTTATTTTTTAGATGGACACTGGTGGGTACTGTGTTTGCTGGCCCATAATTTGAAAGGTGTGGGAAAGAATCTGTAGTTCAGAAGCCCCGGCCTGTCACTGGGCCCCAGTCCCTGCCTCTCCACCCGTCCTGTATTGTTAACCAGGATGCCATTGACACCACACATGAACTTTAGTGAGTGGACCTTGCAGTTAGGCATGATGTCTATGAATGAGCAGGTGGTGTGTAGTGATCATTCTGAAAGCTGTCGTAGAGGCTCCACCACAGTGAGTAAGTGAGCTAGCTTCCCTCATCCTGTCTGGCATCAGGGAATAACAAACTTCTGGGTCTTTGCTATTGTGCTTGGTGGTTTACTGGCACTGGGGCTTGAACTCAGGGCCTCAGCCTCTTGCTTGACTGGCACTCTTCCACTTGAGCCACACCTCCAGTTCTGGCATTTTGTTGGTTAATTGGAGCTAGAGTCTCACAGTTTTTCTATCTGGGCTGGCTTTGAACTATGATCCTCAGATCTCAGCTTCCTGAATACCTTATCTTAACCTTACTCTTAAGATTAAAGGTTGAGAATATTTTTGCTTGTCTGTCTGGTTTTTTTTTTGTTGTTGTGCCAGTACTAGGTATTGAACTTAGGGCCTCACATTCTTGCTCAGCTTTTTTTAAGTTGAACATATTTTTCACACATTCATATCTCTTGCCTATTTTCTAAGTGATGGAGGCTATTTGTAGGGACACTATAAGATGAATGAGCCTGAACATTTGATAAAAAAATTATTCGTAGCCAGGCGCTGGTGGCTCACACCTGTAATCCTAGATACAAAGGAGGTTGAGATCTGAGGATCATGGTTTAAAGCCAACCTGGGCAGGAAAGTCCATGAGATTCTTATCTCCAATAAACCACCAGAAAACCGGAAGTGGTGCTATGGCTCAAGTGGTAGAGCGCTCGCCTTGAGTTGAAAAGCTGAGGGATAGTGTCCAGACCTAGAGTTCAAGCCCCACAACCAAAAAAAAAAATTGTTCATAAACATAAAAGTATCCACATGGGGTATGGTGTGTGTTATGTTGTGTGTACATGTGCATGTGTGTGTGCAAATGTGTGCATATGCCAAGTGCTGGTTCTGGGGCTTAGACTCAGAGCCTTGTGTCCTCATTCAGCTTTTTTTGGGTAAAGCTGGTACTCCCCAACCTGAACCGTACCTCCAGTCTGATATTTTGCTGGTTAATTGGAGATAGTGTCTTTTGAGCTTTTCTGTCTGGGCTAGCTTTGAACGGCAATCATTCTGTCTCAACCTCCTGAGTAGCTAGGATTGGAGACTGAGTCCCATGCACCTTATCCCCATAGTTTTATCATAATTATCTTGAAATAAATTCATAAATTACACATAACCAATGAAGTGGAAGAACTTGCCAGCTTTCAAATAAGGCTAAGCCTGCTATGAGAAGGTCTAGTTTTTTTTGTTTTGCCAATTCTGCAGTGTCACAGAATTATATTGTGCAAAGCTGACAATGGACATGCTTATTATGGGTTAGCTTGGGGGCTGAGGCTTATTTCTAAAGTATGTGCCCTGGCTTGCTTTTGCACTGAGTACTCACATGGCCCAAAGCCAGGAGATGGGCCTAATGAGGTGAGAAGGCCTGAGTGGTAGACTTGTATCCTGGAAGCGAAGATGCAGATAGAATAGCCATTCTCTTCAGAATCAGTCTGTTTCTTTACAAGGTGTTTTTCATTGTTTGTCTTCTGTTAAGGACTTCCCTAGCATACCAGCTAGGGAACTTTCCTCAGTCTGAAACCTGAATGAAGAAATTAACAAAACATGGACCAACCAGATCCCATAACTCAAAATAATTACCCCCCGAGTGTCTACCATGTACACAGTCATAAACCAGTAGTCTTGGAGAGGTCTTGTTGCCTTTGATCATTTTGAACTCTGCCAGTAAGCCATGTGCACTCACACGAGGCCTGCTGGAACCTCTGAACATTACATGACTTGCTGCTTTGCACATTTTGGGGGGATGAGGACAGGGACAAGGTCTTGCTGTGTAGCCCAGGGTAGCCTCAAACTCAAGATCCTCCTGCTCAGCTTCCCCAGGTATCTGGATTACAAGTGTGCACGGCAAGTCCAGCTATATTTAAAAAAAATCTGTAGATAATTAATTCCTACATTTAAGCCCGTGGGTACCTGCATTTCCCCAGGTAGGAGGGTATTCAGCTATATCCAGTGGATGGAGGACAGAGTGATGGTTGGCTTACATTTAAATAACAGCATTTCCCCAACTTGAACATGCTCTTTTTCTTCACTTCAGGCCAGATAATGCAGTACCAGGGGATGTGCTAGTGCTGACTAAGCCCCTGGGGACGCAGGTCGCCGTGGCGGTCCACCAGTGGCTGGATATCGTGAGTAAATTTCCACTTGTGTGGATGGCTAGCTTTTGGATTGGGGGGGGATTTTTGTTAGATGGTTCTGAAAATGAAATTCTTGTTTTAAACCCAGGAAGTTTCGTTAAGGCCTTTAAAAAATCCCGAAGTAGTCTTTATTCTTCTATGAAATATAATTTTGATGTACTGAGTTTGTGAAGTGGGTAACCCCCAAACTGGACTTGAGAGATTTTCTTTAAGGAACTAGGAGGCTTCATCTGCTTATTGGGTACTGAAAATAGTTTTGTCTTTTATGTCTTAAACCTCTAAAAAATGAGGAGGGCTGGAGTGGAGACTCAGGTGCCTGCTTGGCAAGTGCAAGGCAAAATGTGGAGGAGGGTTTTGGATATGATGTTTGTCATATAAATGGCATATCTTTACTTGAGTTTGGGGTTGTTGCTTGGTTTTGCCTTCAAACTGATGAGCAACTAAGATCATCTAAGCATTAATTCTTATCAATTTTCCCACTTGAGTTTTAATCATGCTTCAGATTTTAATTTTTTTTATTGATTTATTTTTGTATCAGTTCTGGGCCTGAACTCAGGGCCGAGGCAGTGTTCCTGAGCACTTTTGCTAAAGGCTGGTACTCTACTACTTGAGTCACAGCTCCACTTCGGGCTTTTTTTTTTTTTTTTTGAGTAGCTTATTGAAGATTAGAGTCTCACAGACTTTCCTGGAAGATCTCAGATCTCAGATTCCTGAGTTGCCAGGATTACAGCTGGGAGCTATAGGATTTTCTTCTTTAACATAGCAACTCAAAGGTTATGTCATCTCTTTATATGGTGTTGTTTTAGTTTCTATAATTGATACTAGCAGTTCTCTATTAAGAAGATATACACAATGGAATTCTATGCCTTCATCAGAAAGAATGACATTGCCCCATTTGTTAGGAAATGGAAAGACTCAGAAAAAATTATACTAAGTGAAGTAAGCCAGGCCTAAAGAAACATAGGTCCCATGGTTTCCCTTATTTGCAACAAGTAGTATATATCTGAGACAACCAGAAAAGGTCAGATAAGATGATGTTAAGCGAAATTAACCCCAAGATAAGGATATAGGTGGTTTTCTTTCTTGCTATTGTTTCTAACGTATTTCTAAGGTGCCACCTGATTTTTTGTTATTTTGTATGTCCCTCCCCAAGGTATAACCCCTGTTTTTACTGTATTTGATGTTGGTATAATTTGGGGAGTAGAAGGGAAAAACCAATTGTTGGATACAGGTTGACCCATTGCAACAATGAGATGTAAAAGACGCTATGTTGAAAAATGAACTTTATAATTTAGGCAGGGATGGGGGGTGGGGGGGTGAGGGGGGAGCCAGCAGTGTAGTTGTGGAGATGGGAGGGGAAGGGATGGTAGAGGGAAAGCAGGAGGAGGCAACAATGCTTGATAAGAAATGTGCTCATTACCTTGCTCATGTGATTGTAACCCCTCTGTACAGTACTTTCACAATAAAAAGCTTATTTTGAAAAAAAGAAAAAGCCGTAATTTTTTTTTTATTTACTAGATGAATCTTTTCTTGATGGGACAGAGTAAGGACTTCTGTGCCACAGACCTGTTCTTTCCCAGCTTGGAATCCCTTCCAGGGTGGCCTGCAGGTGTCTATCTAGCATAACTGCCCAGGCCTGCAGAGACTTGCAAGGGAGCCAGGAGCAGGCGAGGGGGTAAGGGGAGTCTTTCTGCTCTCCACCTCAGCTTGACACATCTTAACTTAAAAACGGGTTTTCAAAATGTTTAAAAGCAAATTCCAAGTACTGTGTAACAGTACAGTGTTGTGGGGTTTTGTGTATATGTGTACTAGTACTGGGGCTTGAACTCAGTACTGTGTTCTCATTTGGCTTTTTTTTTTTTTTTTTTTTGCTTAAGACTAGTGCTCTATCACTTGAACCATACCTCTACTTCCAGCTCTTTGCTGGTTAATTAGAGATAAGAGTTTCAAGAGCTTTTCTGTCTGGGCTGGCTTTAAACCTCTGCTCTAGATCTCACCCTCATAAGTAGCTAGGATTACAGATGTGAGCCACCAGTGCCCTGCCAGAGTGCATTTTATAAAATCTAGAAACAATCAAGAGTGTGTTGTTTTGGACTCTATATTATGAGAAAGGCAGGAAATAGTAAGTACAGACTTGAGAGTAGTTGTTACTTCTGGGAGGCAGGTACCATGATAAATAGATGGCTGGTGTTCCTAATCCATAGTTACTGCACTGGATGCTGGATATTGGATTTTGTTTTATGGTACTAGGTATCAAGAAGCCTGGCATATGGTAGTCAGGCTCCCTATCTGTGAGCTATACCCCCACTTACTTGATAATCCTGCCAAAGAAGAGCAAACTACAGCCCTGGGTTCACAACTTCCTTCCTTCCTTCCTTCCTTCCTTCCTTCCTTCCTTCCTTCCTTCCTTCCTTCCTTCCTTCCTTCCTTCCTTCCTTTCTCCCTTTC